GCTCCCTGTGGGGCTTGGCTCCGAAGCTGGGGCTCTGCCTAAGCACCCGGACCCCTGCCGCAGGAGCTGGAGGCAGAGCGGCGCGGGGCTTGCGGGGTTCCCGCCCTGGGCCTTGGGCACACACGTGAATATCTGCGAGGCCTGGAAACGGGTCACAGCTGTGGCCAGGGCACTGTGAGCCGTCGCCCGCCCGCCTGGCCTAAGTGCACCTGAGTGGACCCCTGCACATATGTAGCGAGCCTGTTGTCCTCCTTGTTTGGCAGATCAGGAAACCGAGGTCCAAAGAGATCTGCAACTTGCCCAGCAATGGGCCGGGCTGGGCTTCCGGCCCAGTGGTCAGGCTCCAGGGCCTGGGCTCTATGCTGGCCCTCGATGAGATGTGGGGGGCAGCATATCCCTCCCCCGGGGCTCATTGCCACCGCCATCCTTGTTCCTGACGCTGTGCCCGGTGATCCTTCTCCTAGGAGCTCTGAATGTCCAGGTCATGAAGCACACACTTCAAAGGGCCGGGCGTGGGGCGGGTGGTGCAGGAAGGTGCTGGAGGTCCTGCTTCATCGCCCAGGGCGCCCTGCAGCCCTCACGGGGCTGGAGCCGGAAGCCATCAGCCCTGAGGGGCATCTGTCTTCATCCTGTCCCTGGTCACCCAGAGACAGCGAGTGTCCCCCGCATTTCCTGTCCTCCCTCTCCCGCCTGGCCAAGCCCATCCCTGGGGGCCCCGGCTTATCAGCCCAGGGCTGGGGTCCAGCCAGTTCTCGGGTCAGCCTGGCACCCGGATCAGGCAGCCTCCTTGTCCCCCCAGCCCCCGCCTCTGCTCTCGCTCTTTGGGTGGTCCCACTTGGTCTCCAGTGTGCCAGTCAGTTCTGGGTCACCCTGTCCTGGCTTGAGTCCCCCGTGCCTGCCTGGACTCTACTTGACAGCCTCCTGTCACAGGGCAGTGCTATAGCTGGTCCCCTGGGAAGCTGGACCTCGCCTGAGCCGGGAGCCGTTCCGGACTGGACTTTTCCAGACCGAGGCAGGAAGGCTGCCCTCACCCCTAGCCCTGGCTGGCCAGCGCCAGGGATGCTGATCTGGGCACCCACAGACCTCCCTCAGCCACGTGGCGCTCGCCCCTCGGCTTTGTCATCATTGCAGATGGGGAGACTGAGGCAGGGTCGCACGGCTAGAGAGGACAGAGCTGGTGCCCCGGAGTCCGTCTTCACTGAGACATGCTTATCCTCTCGTCTGCGGGCCAGGATAAAGTGCGTCGGTGCGGAGGGCCTGGGCATGGGGGGAAGGGGCGGACGCTGACGTTCACGGCCCCGGTTCTCACTGGCCGTGGAGCGTGAGCAGCACAGGCCTCGCTGACGCGGCCTTCCAGCTTGGGGGGCCCACTCTCCGTGCTGTGGGGCCTGGATGAGCCATGTAGGATGCTCCTTGTGGGCCTGGCACAGGTGGGGCTGATCATTGTCACGGCGGGGGAGGGCGAGAGGCACAGGAAGGAGACGGGGCTCGGCCCCGGCTCCCCCACCCCCACCCCCATCTCTGTGGGCCCTCCGCTCTGGCCTAGCCCTGGTGCCTTTCACACGCTGCCCCCTCGCAGGGAGGGTCCTCCGTGAGACCTCCCAGGCAGAGGAATCCCCTCATTCATGCCCCCGACCCAGAGGGCATGACCCCTGCTCAGCTCTGTGCTGCCTCCGGTGACACCATCACCAGCCCTCGAAGCCTTTGTCCCAAGACCCACCAGAGAGAGCCTGGAAACCATGTGCCTCTGGGAGGTGGCCGGGCTGCACGCAGGACGCTCCGAGCCCATGGAGCCTGGAGATGGGGTTGCGTGCTGCCCCTGAGGGTGTGGGGCTCCTCCTCTCGGGCCCAGGCAGCCTGTTCAGCGCCCACCAGCAGCCCTGGCTGCTCGAGTCTGGGCCGGCTCCGCCCCCACGGCTCTGTCTGAGCAGTCCAAGGCCAAGTCTGCCCAGGACGTGCTGGGGGATTGCGTAACCCTGCCCGTGCCGGCGGATATAAGCCCAGGCGCAGGGGACGCAGAGGCGCTGGGCGCACTGACCGGCGATGGAGGCCGGGCTGCTGAGTGCCATCCTGGGCGTTGCCATGGTGTGGGCGGAGACGGCCGGGCCGGACCTGGAGCTGCAGAAGGTGGCTTCTCTTCCTCGTCTTGGAGAGGCCGGGCAGGGAGGGGCCTGAGCATCCAGCGACTCCAGTGCCCCGTCCCGCCAGCCCCCGGCTGTGCTGGCGCAGCTACCTCAGGGGCCCGGGGACCCACCTAGGCTGACCCCACACTGGCAGGTGGCTAAGGGTCTGAGCCCACCTGGTCCTGGCCCTTGGAGGGAAGTGCCCAGGGACGGGCAGGGCCAGTGCCTGCCCTGGGGGTCTCCTGTGGGCAAGCCCATGTCCTCAGCCACAGCAGCTGGTCCCCTGGGGCCTCCAGGGCCTCCCAGTCTCAGTATGCCCCGTCCCCCCACCCCCGACTTCCCGCTCCCGGGTCGGTGGCCCCAAGCACTGTGGAAACCAGAGGGGGCCCGCCCCGTGCGGATGTGGCCAGGGCCTCTGGGCCCGTCTAGATGCCCTCAGGCCTGGGCCCTTTCTTTGCTGGGTCCGCGTTACCTGCTGGTTCTCTTGGCCCAGCAGGTTCAGAGATGGTGGATGTTAGGGACATGGATTCTTTTCTCCTGCAAAAAGGGTGGGTTTCCAGAAGTTTGAGGCGGAAGTTCTGGGTTCTGGGTGGGTTTCTGAACGCGGGAGTTCCCTCCCGAGGCCGGGCACAGCTGTGCCTCTCCTGTGGGGACGGGGCTGCTGGCTGCCCACGGCCCCGCAGAGCCATTTGCTCTCTGGAGCTTTTCAGTTGGCACTCCCCAGTCCATCCGCCACTGCCCTCTGGCACCCTCCTCCCAAGGCAGGCGACAGCGGAGGCCGTTCTCCTGGGACCGGGCCTGAGTGCGGAGGGGCTCCCCCGTGGGCATCACCATCTGACGGCCTGGGGCGGGGTGACCACCGGCCGCTTTGCCGCTGAGCCTTGTGGCTGTCCGCTGACCTTTCGGAGCCTGCCATCTCCCTGCTTGGGGAGTCCTGGGGGGGTCCGCCCCCTGGAGCCCAGGGATGAGGGTCTCTGTCTGGCTGCCCCAGACGGAGTAGACTCTAGGTTTTTTCTCTAGATTGTAGGATTTTGGCGAGAAGTTGGTGTGGCCTCCAACCAAAGCCTGGCACTGATGACCCCGAAGAGGCTGGAGGCCTTATTCCTGACCTTGAGTGGGCATGAGCTGACCGTGAAGGCCGCATATAGCAGGTGTGGGGCCTGGGGCTGGGGTAGGGGTGCCTGGGAGCAGCCTGGCTACACCAGCTGTGGCTGTGGGATCTGGACGGTGTCATCGCCTTGGTGGACCAGCTCTCCCCGTGTCCACTGCCCAAGACTTTGACCCAGCCCTCCAACAGAGGCGGGACGCTCAGGCTCCTAGAGCTGCATGCTGTTTCAAAGATAAGAGAGTTTTGTTAAAGCCCCATTATCTATAAGAAGGGAGCTTGGGCGAACGGGCAGGTGGCTCTGTGGAGGTCAGGAGCCCGGTGGGAGAGGCCGGCGCGGCTGCCGCTGCTCTGCTCGCCCTGCGGGTCCTGCTCCAGCTTCTTCCTGAAGACGGCCCTGCCCACCGCCCTGAATGTGCCCAGCGAGGGATGCAGGCTGGCGTGCTCCTAACAAGCGCTTTGCTGCCTTTCAGCTCAGGAAGTTGTGAGACGGAAAACATAGTGGGCTCAGAAATGAATGTTTCGGGCAAGTTCGTGTTTCCTGGTAAGAACCGTTGCGCTGTCGCCGCAGCGACGAACGCCCGCCCTGCGCGCCGCGGCCCTGGGCCTTGCTGTTCCCCACACTGTGCCCCGCGCTCGTCCTCATGCCCCAGACTCGCATGCGCTCAACAAACCCGACGTCCTCCAAGGGCTGCTCGGGTGCTCCTCCCCCACCCCCGGGGCTCCGGCGGGCGGTGGCCGGGTGGGCGGGGGGCGGATCCGATCGCAGAGCCCCGCCTCCGAGGGGTGCGGTCTGCGCACAGACCCGCCCCTCCCGCTTGCTCCTCAGGCCACAGAGAGATTCACGTGATCGACACGGACTACGAGCGCTACTCCATCCTGAGGTTGTCCCTCCACTGGCAGGGCAAGGACTTCCACGTGCTCAAGTACTTCAGTAAGCTGGCTGGGGCGCGGGCTGAGCCGCGACGCGGGCCCGCTGGGTCCCCGCTCAGCCCCCGCTGCCCCCGCAGCTCGCAGCCTCGAGGACGAGTATGGACCGGGCTTCTGGAGGTTCCGGGAGCTGACGGCAGACACCGGACTCTACCTGGTGGCCCGCCACGGTGAGCCCCGGGCCTCGGGGTCGCGCAGGGGGCTGGGGGCCCGCGCAGGGGGCTGGGGGCCCGCGCGTGGGGTCGGGTGCCGGTCCTGCAGCCCCTCCCGCTGTCTCTGTCCCACAGGGAGGTGCGCCAAGCTCCTGAAGGAGGTGAGCCTTCCCCTTTCGTGCTGAGCCCCGGGTCGAGTCCCCAGGTCGAGTCCCCAGGTCCTGCAGATCCTGGGCCTCACGGTGGTGACAATAGGCTGCCAGGCGGGGACCCATGGGGGCCCAGCAGGGGGTGCAGGGCTGCTGGTGCCTCTGCCTGCTCACCGCCCGCCCGGGTGGGGCCCTGTCGGCACCGGCTCAGGCCCCCGCGTCCCACACACGCCAACCCGACAGCCGCCCGACCCCTCCGTCTCAACACAGCCCCAGAGGTGGGGGCCGTCACCCGCTTTGCAGGTGGAGAAACTGGGTCGTGCTTTGCTCAGAGCCCACAGGGCCGAGACACGGTCACGGCGGTGGCCCTGACGGCCGCGGCCCTGACAGCTGCCCGGGCCCTCGGAGCGGGCAGTGCCTGAGTCCTGCCCTCTGTGTCACAGGAGCTGATCTAGCCCCTGGCCGGGCCGGGGCGCCGCGACC